GCCATGATATTATTTGGGATTGATAGTGGAGTGGTTTCGCGTTGCCTTCGCCACAGAGATAGAACGGATATATCGCTGAGTTCTTCTAAGACGAAAGAGAACAACCGGCAATCCGCAGAATTATCGACGGACTGCAAATATTAAAAACCCAAGTGGAAGCTGCACAGGCCAAATTGAATAAAAACAAATCGGCAGGGACAGATGGAATTGTAATAGAGACGCTGGCATCCTTAGACGATTTTGGCATAGACAAAGAAATAATGAATGAAATCTACAACAGCGGTGACGTACCGAAAGAACTAAGCAGATCTATTTTCATAGCACTACCTAAGAAACCAGGCCCAAACGAATGCTAACTCCACCGGACAATGAGCCTAATGAGCTATATAACACAACCCATCATCATCCGAATTTTGCTGAATAGAACGCGAAGCAGAATCAGGCCTGAGATAGGACAAGAACAGTGTGTGTTCGTCAGGAGAAGGAACGTGTAATTCTTTCTTGAATGTTACTTTTGAACATGTATCTAACCAGAAATCGATGCCGAAACATTTTACAGTATTAAGGATACCTTGCAACTTATTGTCGTCTTTGGCAAATAATTCATGTAGAATATGTGATCAAACACTTTCTTTTTTATTTTTTTATCCATAATTATTACTGTTTAGTTCCTGCAAATGGGGATTATGGACAAAGAGAATAGAAGAGGTGACAGGGTGTCCCCTTGAAAGGTTTATTGTCGGATATTCAAAGAGTTGGAAATGGCTGCGCATTTGGTGCGATTTAGGGATAATATGATTTTTCCGTAATTCTCTGCTATATTTAATGACATTTAATATCACTGATAAGAATTTGTACATTTCCAAAGCCTAAAGGATCCAAGAGTGTGGCAAACTGTCAAAGGCTTTAAAGTAATCTATCCAAGATCTGCTGGGATTTCTACTTATTTCCTGCAATTTTCCAGCATCATTTTATTTATTAGTAGTTGATATTCGCAAACATATGAACCTTTTTGACATCCCTTCTATTCCAGGGGAAGAATATTTGAGAAGAAATGTTCATCAGGATATACGTGATTAATTTATATGTGGTTTATAAATTGATCACGTATTGGCCTGTTTTTTTTAATCATCTGTTTCACCCGTTTTTGATAGTAGACATGTAATAGCTTCAGTGATCCATTCTGAAATTTCATTGGGGTTATTAATTAACCTTGCGCAAGACGTTTATGGATTGATGTCAAATGACAGAGCTAAAAGTTGAGAACCTTGTCATTTCCTGGGGTTTTCCATTTTGGTGATTTTGTTAGGAGTTGCTTAATATTATTCTTGGTAATAATTCTTGCACAGGTTTTCCTCCATTTTTTTTCTTGTTCTCATTTGATTTACTCTGCATTGAGACTATATTCTTTTGGGCTGCACTAATTATTTCCAAAAACTCTTACACTTCTTCAACAGACAGTTGCTTTTTGACTAATATAAACGCTTTTTCAATTTTCCTGCAAAACGTATTAAGGTCTGTTTGGAAAATCTTAATTTGCCAATAGAAACTACAACGCTTTTCATATCGTTTAGTTTTCTTCAATTCAATTTTCCATCCTTTTTTATAAAAAAACAAAAGAAAAGGAAAACTAACAACACACATATTTTACATAAATAAAGCTCTTCGTAATGCTGTATTTGTGAGTAGAATTCGTTTGTATTTCTTTAAGGCATGGACTACCAGGGATCACTTCAGTGAGTCTATCGGTCGCCGCACTTCCCATCAATCCGAGGGCTCCAACTATAACTGTAATTATTGACGTCCTTATATGCTGCATTTTTTAGATTTCATTTTCAAAATCCTTGTATTTTGATAGTTGTTTTTAAAGATCTTTAAAGATACATTACAATCATCGGAGACTTCCATGTCAATAAGAAAACACTTTCTGTTTGTGTAGTATTTGAATGCGATGTCTGGCCGATTATCCTTGATTGCTCTGTCTGTGTGTATTGTAAAGTCCCATAAAATTGTTACAGGTCCTATCTCTGTAACCGGGTCTGGGTAATGTTCATATCAGTTTTTTGTAGTTTCCTTCCTGTAAAAGTGATATATTTGCTAGATATAGGTTCACTTTGATTTCTATTGTGTACATTCCTTTACCGTGTCATTATCTGAGACGTATGTTAAGGTAAATATAAGCATTCTATTTACAAACACTCTGTTGTTAAGTGCTACTTACTCTACTATGTAGAGTATTTATATTTATTTTGCCTTGCTAATAATCTCTTGAATAGATGAGTATCTCCAAACAACGTAAACTTTTGCAGTGTTTTCTGGGGATTTTGTTAATTTTCTTGTTCATAGTACCATTTTAATTAAAATCATGGTTCCAAACATAACCAGTAAAACAGTACGTTCAAAATGCCACATTTTCGTTTAATTTGTCATTCAAGATTATAACATTTTCTTATTTTTTCTTACATTTTTACATATATTCCAGTTTGGTCATATTTTTGTCTATCAAAAGTCACACTTTTTATGTAGTATTTAATAACTATGTATGTCACACACACAGAAATATACAGACACAAATATACACACACTGAAATATGCTCGCACAAACACACACACACACACATATAATAATTATTACTTTTAAATGTAAACAGGTATTTACTACTATCAGAATCAATGATATGATAAACTAAAGCAAATAAATTGTTTGGGTTTAATTTTGGTTCATGTTTTTGAATACTGAAGTTCATTTATCGTATTTGATAATATTGAATAATTTATATAAAATATCGAATTAAAATGACTTAATTCTTAATATAATTTCACCTCAGTGGAAAACTCTCATGAACCTTATCCCCCGTTAATAATTAATATACTTTTTTCAAAATACAAATTTTTTACGTTAATAATATTTAATATATTCACATGTAAGTATTCATATATAATTATTTTCTATTAAAAAGGCAGATGATTGTAGTTTTATCCCAGAATATTGTAGTTTTCATTTGTTACCTTTGATTACACAAAACTCTTTTTCAATTTTTAGTATCAAGCCATCTAAACAAAAATAAAATGACCTTTAATTTTAGAACCGAAATTAATTTAAATACAGGTCAACAAACACCAAGAACACACATTTTGACTGTAATTAATACGGTCCTGTCGTCAAATTAATTATATTCGCCATTTGAAAATTTGTTTAAAGCGTCACCGATTTCTCTTGTATGAACCGTCATTATCTAGATGTTGGTCGAGACTTATTCGAATTCGCGATAGTTTTTTGCATTCGAATATTGGCAGAATTTACTTTGAAGAAATCAGAATATTGGCAGAATTTACTCTGGAGAAATCAGCATGAGACTTGGAACACTGGATGTCTGAAGGCAACCGTTGGAGGGATTGGAGTAATGGTGTGGGGCGCTGTCTGGTTTGGAGGAAATCTGAGCTGATTCTTGTTGATGCGCGGTTGCGACCATGGCCCAAACACCACTCTTAAACAACCCCGTTTGGACCAAAGGTATTGTGTGCAGGACCCTTTCAAACTGACAAAACTAAAACTCAATTTTCGCCACTAAACAAAAATAAAGACCTTTAATTTCGAACCGAAATTAATTTAAATACAGTCAACAAACACCGAACACACTTTTGACTGACTAAGCGAAATTAATTATATTCATTTGACCAGTTTAGCGTCACCGGTTCTCTTGTATGTCATATCTAATGCCAACTTCGCAGCATTGACCAGCTTGCCAAAATTTACTTGTTTAGCGTCACCGGTTCTCTTGTATGAACTCATATCTAGATGCCTGAGACATGTTTATGACCGATCTTTGACCATGGCAAATGTTTGGACCATATCAGGACCTGCTAAGACAACGCTAAGACTAACTCCAGAACTTGAAAAGATTTGACCAGCTTGGACATCACATCTTGACCCCGTGGGAAACGCTCGGGTTTCCCACGAAAAACGACCTTGTGTCACATCTTGACCCCGTGGGGAGTTAAGTAAATACCGCCGGCCAGTGAGCAGCCCGGCCTTCGGGCTGGGTTGCGACCATGGCAAAGTCTAGTTTGGACCATATCAGGACCTGCTAAGACAAGACCAAGACCAGAACTTGACTAAGCTTTGACCAGCTTGGACATGTTATGACCAAAACATTGACTTAGCCTTGACCATCTTGGACATGTTATGACCAATCTTTGACCAGTGACCCTATGCGGAAACGCGACCTTGTGTCACGGTTTCCCACGAAAAACGACCTTGTGTCACATCTTGACCCCGTGGGAGTCAAGTAAATACCGCCGGCCAGGGAGCAGGAAGCCTTCCTGATTCGCGACTTTGACGCGCCCAGTCAAGTCGACCAAGCCCAGCAGCTGACGGGACCCAGCAGCAGTCAGCAGTTGTTCAAACAGTCCTTTTCAGGGCTAACTTCCGAAAGTCATTCGATCACCACTCTTCGAGGCTCCACTCACTTCACTCTTTGCTACTGCCTTCCCTCTGAGACGCCAGCTCACTCCTGCAGCTTCCAGCTCCTCCTGCAGCTTCCAGCTCACTCCTGCAGCTCCAACTTCCAGCCTCCTGCAGCCTCCAGCACTCCTGCAGCTTCCAGCTCACTCCAGCACTTCCAGCTCACTCCTACCGCTTCCAGCTCACTCCTGCAGTCCAGCTCACCCCAACAGCTTCCAGCGGCCTCCAGCTCACCCCTGCGGCGCTCTACTGACGTCCCGCTACCTCCCGCTACCTTCCAGCACCCGCTGACGATCCTAATCCAGTGCCCACTGACGTCCAGCGCCCGTTAACGTCCGGACACCGTTCCCGAACAAACGACCACCGTTCGCAAATAAAGACACGATTTCCATCGTCTACAACGGACCATCTGCGTTTGTCATCCTTCTTTGCTATTGCCATCTCCTTGCCTTTGTGTCCCCTATTTTAGTTGTACGGTCGATTGGCACTCACACCTCTCGGCCCGCTGCAACAAGTGGTGACCCCGACGTGATTTATGGACACAGGCAAACGGCTAGCAGAGAAGATGGCGGAACACACCGAAACAGAAATCAACACATCAGCCGCCCTGATACAACTACCGCCATACAACTCGATCAACACCAGGAGTTGGTTTATTCAACTTGAGGCGATATTTTCAGCACGAAAGGTCACACGACAGGACACTAAATACGCCTCCGTGGTACAAGCCTTACCAGCATCAATCGTTGAAGAAGTGGAAGACATCCTTCTCAATACTCCGGACCAACTCCCATACACCTGCCTCAAAGAAGCCATCCTCAAACGAACTGGACGTTCGGACGAAGACCTCATCAGAGACTTATTCTCTAATGTGTCTCTCGGCGATAGGACACCATCCCAGCTCCTCCGCCTGATGAAGAGCCGCCTCGGGAACAACACCATGGCAGAACCCATCCTCCGAGGGCTATGGATGGATCGGTTACCACCGAATATAACACAAGTTCTAGCCCTGGTACCAGTAGAGACGCCCCTTGACGTTGTGGCCGACTCAGCCGACAAAATATACTCCCAGGCTCACCAAAAAGTTCACCAGGTTGAGAGCCACGGAAACCACACACAACGCCTCGAAGAGGATATGACCCATCTACGCGCAGAGTTAAGAGACCTGAAACTCTCCCTATGCCGGAGGCAGCGAAGCCCAGCACCACGCACGCGAAATCGAAGCCGTACCCGCAGCTCAAGTCCAGGACGGAGAAACAGTGTGGACGAATGTTGGTACCACCAAACCTTCGGTGACCGAGCCCGCAAGTGCCACCCTCCCTGCAGACGCAATAAGGCCCAGGGAAACGAATAGACCGACAGGCAGCGACGACGATCCCTGTCGGTACTCGCTCACACAGTCGTCTCTTCTACGTGTGGGACCGTAACAATGGCCTCAAATTCCTAGTTGACACTGGCGCAGCCATCAGCGTAATACCACCCACCAACAGATCCGCCTTGAAACCCACCCCATTCCAACTTCGAGCGGCAAACGGCTCCACCATAGAAACCTATGGGAACAAGGAACTTACTTTGAATATCAACCTCAGGCGCGACTTCAAGTGGTCATTCACCGTAGCTGACGTCAGGACATCCTTGCTCGGTGCCGACTTCTTGGCACATTACAACCTGGCTGTCCATGTGAAGACAAGGACCCTGTCCGACAACATGACAACCATCAAGATCACAGGGATCCCATCGAGCTTCAACACAACTAGGATCAGCGTGGCAACACAGCACGACCCCCACTACGTAGAAATCCTGCGCCGGTACAAGCACCTCACGCAACCCATCAAACCAACTGATGCAGGCGACCATCAGACCCAACACCATATAAAGACCACCGGACAACCAGCATATTCACGGCCACGACGACTCCTCCACACAAATTAGCATATGCCAAGAAAGCGTTTGAGGAGTTGCTGGCCGACAATATCATCCGACCCTCAGACAGCCCATATGCTTCACCACTGCATCTGGTACCCAAATCCGACGGGGATTTCAGGATCTGCGTGGATTACCGGAAACTCAATGCGTCCACAGTGCCCGACCGGTATCCTGTTCCGCATATCCACGACTTTGCCTCAGGTTTACAGGGGGCCCGCATTTTCTCAAAAATTGACCTGACCAAAGCCTACTACCAAGTTCCAGTCGCTCCGGAGGACATCCCAAAGACAGCAGTCACAACCCCTTTTGGACTGTTTGAATTCCTAAAAATGCCCTTCGGACTGCGCAACGCAGCCCAGACGTTCCAGAGGCTGATGGACGAAGTTCTGCGTGGACTACCATACGTCTACGCATACATTGATGACATCCTAGTGGCTAGCAGAGACGCTGATCTCCACAAACAACACCTGGAGGAAGTGTTCCGCCGTCTAACACATTACGGCCTCCGAATCAACCCAGACAAGTGCGAATTCGGTGCACAACACATGGACTTCCTCGGACACCACACAGACGCTCAGGGAATCACTCCACTTCCCGATAAGATAAAAGCCATACAGGATTTCCCGATGCCCACATCGATAAAGCAACTGCGACGCTTCTTGGGGATGGTAAATTTTTTACCGCAGGTTTATCCCCGGATGCTCAAAACTCCTCACCCCCTGACAAATCTTCTCCAGAGAAAAAACAAAGCCATCACCCTGGAGGGCGACCAGGAAAAATCATTCCAAGCAGCAAAAAACTTTTTAGCTAACTTTACGAAGTTAGCACATCTTAACGAAGACACCCGGACTCAGATATATCTAACAACAGATGCCTCAGACACTGGAGTTGGAGCTGTGGTAGAACAGGAGGTTGACGACCAACGCAAAAACCCATCGCATTCTTCTCGGCTAAATTATCACCAGCCCAGTCCAGATACAGCACCTTCTCGAAAGAACTTTTGGCTATATACCTCGCCATCAAACACTTCCGACATCTACTGGAAGGCCGGAATTTCACCGTTTTGACCGACCACAAACCATTGACAACTTCCCTGTCGAACAACTCGGACAAATATACGGCTCGCGAGATCAGACATCTAGACTATATCTCACAGTTCACGTCCGATATTCGTTATGTCAAAGGAAAAGACAACTCTGTCGCCGATGCCCTATCCAGATTTGATGTCAACACAGTGCAAGACAGCCCACTCAGCCAGGACCTAATAGCAGAGGCCCAGGAGTCCGACGCAACCCTCCCTGAAGTCCTAGCCAACACATCCCTGCAACTGAAAGAATTTCCGGCACCCTTCAGCAACAAAATATTGTACTGCGATACAAAACTGGATCACCCCAGACCCTACATACCTCCGGCACTCAGAAGGCAAATTTTCAACCACCTCCATGGATTGTCACATCCCAGCAAGCGCGCTACGGTCAAACTCATTGCCGATCGTTTTGCGTGGCCCAACATGAATACTGACATCCGTAATTGGGTATCAACGTGCCTTAAGTGCCAGAAATGCAAGGTACACCGGCACACAAAATCCCTGCCAGGCACATTCAGCAACCCTGACGCACGTTTCAGCCACATCTACATCGACATAGTGGGACCTCTCCCAATGTGCCAGAATTATCAGTACCTCCTCACAGTGGTTGACCGTTTCTCCAGGTGGCCAGTAGCAGTACCCATCAGAGATACCTCGGCTAGCACGGTAGCAAAGACCATCCTTCAAGAGTGGATCGCAATTTTTGGCGTACCCAGCATCATCACCACAGACCGCGGCGCGCAGTTTCAGTCCTCACTCTTTCAGGAATTCACTCAACTGCTCGGCGTCAAACACATCAAGACCACCGCCTACCATCCCTGTGCCAACGGCCTTGTGGAAAGGTTCCACCGAACACTAAAGGCCTCTCTAACTACAAAACATCCCACCAGCAACTGGGTAGACGAGCTACCCCTAATCCTTTTGTCAATCCGCAACACACTCAAAGAAGACTTAGAATGCACTCCAGCCGAAATAGTCTTCGGTACAGCACTCTCTTTACCCGGCCAATATTTCGACGACACCATACCCAACCTAACCACTGCAAGTCCTTTCACTCAGGAACTTCGCCATAAAATGGCCCAACTGAAGTATACACCACCCAGGCAATCATCACCAACTATCCACGTTCCACAACAGCTTCAGGACTGCGAGTTCATTTTTGTCCGAAATGACGCGGTAAAGAAACCACTAACACCAACATACCAGGGTCCATTCAAAGTCTTAAAACGCTCTGAGAAGCATCTCACCATTGATTGAGGAAGCCGGACGGACACCATCTCCATCGACAGAGTCAAACCAGCTTTTCTGGAAAAATCTCCACGGGAGACAGAACCCGTCTCAACACACCCAGAACCCTCACCTGCCTCAACAACCACGCAATCGCAACCGTCACAACCGAGGTCAGAGCCAATCCCAGAATCACCCACCACTCCACCTAGGCAGACCCGTCTTGGAAGGAAAGTCACCTTCCCTAAGAAGTACAAGACATATATTTTCTTCTAATTGATAATGATCAATTATCCTGGGAGAGGGCCTTGTCGCAGTGTGCCCAAACACCACTCCCACCTTTTCTTAAACAACCCCGGATATGCCTGCCGGTAGAGAAAGGTCACGACCCTTGTGTGCTAAAAATAGCAACGACATCCTTTCAAACTGACAGAAACACACAAAACTCAATTTTCGCCACTAAACAAAAATAAAAGACCTTTAATTTCGAACCGAAATTAATTTAAATACAGTCAACAAACACCGAACACACTTTTGACTGTAATTAATACGGCCCGAAATTAATTATATTCATTTACTTGTTTAGCGTCACCGCTTTCTCTTGTATGAACCGTCATATCTAGATGCCCGAGACTTCGCAGCGGTTTTTAGCCGGCCAGGGAGCAGCCCGGCCTTCGGGCTGGGTTGCGACCATGGCAAAGTCTAGTTTGGACCATATCAGGACCTGCTAAGACAAGCCAAGACCAAACTTGACTAACACCAGCTTGGACCCAAAACATTGAATAAGCCTTGACCAGCTTGGACATGTTATGACCAATCTTTGACCAGTGACCCTATGCGGAAACGCTCGTGTTTTCCAAAAAAAACGACCTTGTGTCACATCTTGACCCCGTGGGAAAATCCCACGAAAAACGACCTTGTGTCACATCTTGACCTTAAGTAAATACCGCCGGCCAGGGAGCAGCCCGGCCTTTGGGCTGGGTTGCGACCATGGCAAAGTCTAGTTTGGACCATATCAGGACCTGCTAAGACAAGCCAAGACCAGAACTTGACTAAGCTTTGACCAGCTTGGACATGTTATGACCAAAACATTTGACCAGCTTGGACCCAATCTTTGACCAGTGACCCTATGCGGAAACGCTTGGGTTTTCCCACGAAAAACGACCTTGTGTCACGTCTTGACCCCGTGGGAGTCAAGTAATCCCACGAAAAACGACCTTGTGTCACATCTTGACCTCGTGGGAGTCAAGTAAATACCGCCGGCCAGGGAGCAGGAAGCCTTCCTGATTCGCGACTTTGACGCGCCCAGTCAAGTCGACCAAGCCCAGCAGCTGACGGGAACAGTCCTTTGCAGGGCTAACTTCCGAAAGTCATTCGATCACTCTTCAAGGCTCCACTCACTTCACTCTTTGCTACTGCCTTCCCTCTGACGCCTTCCAGCACTCCTGCAGCTTCCAGCTCACTCCTGCAGCTTCCAGCTCACTCCTGCAGCTTCCAGCTCACTCCTGCAGCTTTCAGCGGCTCCTGCAGTGCGGCGCTCCCTGCAGACGTCCAGCTACCTTCCCAGCACCCGCTGACAGATCTACCAGTGCCCAACGTCCAGCGCCCGTTAACTTCCGGACACCGTTCCAGCCTCACCCTCTGCGGCTTACCATCCACCGTTCGCACTGAAAGTCCCATCGCTACCCATTCCAGCACCCGCTGACGACCTAATCCAGTGCCCACTTTGACGTCCAGCACCCGTTATAATGTCCGGACACCGTTCCCATGTCATTTCGAACAAACGACCTCTGTCGTCTTACCATCCAAATCCGTTCGCAAATTGACCAAAGAATTTGAGAACGAACCAAAATCCATCAGTGGCAACCCTACAAACATTGCTAAAGACCATCTGCGTTTTGGATATTAAATGACAAATTACTACCGGCTAAATCCTCAACACTCTCGTGGGAAATATTGTGTTTCTTTTTGTGCGTATTTATCCAATAAACATACTTTATAAACATAAATACTTAATGGGCGTTATATCTAAATTCTCAGATTTAATTTATGAAACAAAACTCACTAGAAGCCGAAAATTGTTCGAAAGATTCAGGGAGAAATTAGCCTAGAGTGAAAGCCACTATTTTGATTCCCAAACTAGTATGTCTGCATAAATTGTGCTAATTATATGAGGAGGGAGATAGTTCTTCAGCTAGGTGTAGTTAGTTATCAGAAGTTTATGTACAAATGACCTCAAACACATAAATCCAATATAGTATGTAAAAAAATAAAAGCGGTGTGTGTGTGATCGTAAACGCACGGCCATCAACAAGTGAACTCTAAAATTACAATACTAACTCGCTATAAATAAGAGCTGAATGTATTTTAGGTCTCCAACAAAAAGCAGCAGATAAACAACCAAGGTTGACAGCATGAAGAGAATACATTCCAGGGAGATTCTTCAACTTCTCATGTACCCTGCATAACTTGAAACTTATTGAATTATAATATTTTCGTTAAATAATGCTTGGCTATGGACAACTGAAATGGTGTTTTCTCGCATTAAGATTTTGCAAGTTTGTATACACAATGTTCAGTGCGGATGTAAATGAATGAATTAAACATAATTACTGATTTTTGTAACATCATCAGATAGGAAGTATTTATTTTTGTCTTCTAAGAACAGTTAAAATATACAAGATATAAAATT